CCATCGTGTTTTCTGCAGAATTTGGGCAGAAAAATTTGTATTCGACCATAGGCTGCCCAACAGTGCGTGTTGAAATTTTTACCCTCGCGCGTGGCGCTCGGGCATGCATCGAGTCTACTCAGTTTATTATTATGACAAGGTTGGCAAGAGTTTTAACGGAAATTTGTTACAACGTTTAATAGAGTATGAATATTTCGCAAATTACAAACAAAAACAATATAAAATCTACATCATTTCAAACACTGATAATTTTACTACATTCTCTCAAAGTTTTAACTTCAAAAGTTCATTCTAACGATGTTAAAAAAGCGAATTATTTTCGGTTTTTTTTTCAAAATTTTGTCAAAACTATGCTGGGGTCACGTACCCTGTGGTGATGTCATATTTTTTAAATCTTAAAGAAGCGTTGATTTGCTGTTGTACACGATTCCAGTACAACAGCGAATCAACGCTTCTTTAAGATTTAAAAAATATGACATCACCACAGGGTACGTGACCCCAGCATAGTTTTGACAAAATTTTGCAAAAAAACCGAAAATAATTCGCTTTTTTAACATCTTTAGAATGAACTTTTGAAGTTAAAACTTTGAAAGAATGTAGTAAAATTATCAGTGTTTGAAATGATGTAGATTTTATATTGTTTTTGTTTGTAATTTGCGAAATATTCATACTCTAGTAAACGTTGTAATAAATTTCCGTTAAAACTCTTGCCAACCTTGTCATAGTAATAAACTGAGTAGACTCGATGAATGCCCGAGCGCCATGCGCGAGGGTAAAAATTTCAACACGCACTTTTGGGCAGCCTATGAATGAACCACTAAAATAACTCTTAATAGAGGGCCCCCTATACCTCTTCATAATATGCTTTCACGTAAAAGTATAATGCATTTTCACGAGTCACGGATTAAGAAAATCATCGATCACGTTTCACGGCTAAGTAAAATAAGCAGATCACGCTTCATGCAAAAATTATAGGGGGCCCGATCACGTTTCACGGCTAAGTAAAATAAGCCATTCACGCTTCACGCAAAAAGTATAGGGGGCCCTCTTAATATTCCAAATGTGGTGCACCAAGTCTTGTATAGAAAATATGTATTACGTTTCGGGCTTTAATAATAATAATAATAATTTATTTTCACACAAATTGTTACACTATATTGGTAAAGCCGAAGCCATAGGCTTATTTGGCAAAACTATTTAAGAGTATAGCTCGTGGTCAGTACAGAGAATTAAGTATGAATTATTCCAACTTTTGGTTTACTTATTAGCTTTATTTAGCTTACACACAGTAATGTAAAATGTTTTTCCGCTGACCGGCAGGTATTGAAAGTAGCCGATACTAGCAATTTAAGTACTCACTTCCAGTATCGAAAATTGAAATTTTGTGTTTGTTTTGGTATTGAAATAGGTATCGGTATCGGCCGATACCAATCTTAAAAGTCTCGGTATCGAATTAAAACTCCTGGTATCGCCCATCACTACATGGAAGTTGAGGTCCTGACTGGAAAGTTTGGAAATTGCACGGGGGAGATTTCGAAAATTTAATAGTAAATATATAGAAGGCATCAAAAGTGCGCAGGGGATTTCTCCCCCACGCGATACAAACTTTCCACACTGGGTTGAAAAGTAACTCTTTTCAAAAATGGGTAATTGCCGAAAAAAACATTGTCTGGGCCCCAGCTCAAAAGGGATTCCCAAGCAATGAAATTCTTCTTGATGCAAGATTGCTTAATCAAGAATATAAATTGTAGCTCAGTGTTTGCGCCAAATAATATGCAATATAATGCAATATGTTGTAAAACACTGAGCTTCTCCTGTTTAAGAATTATGATGTCCCTAAGAAAGTTTAACCCCTGAGCCCTGCACATCTCTCGGATTGGAAGCTAATCACAACAGTTAGGGCCTAATCACAAGCCTCCTGTCAAGAAACATTTATTTGTGTTACTAAATATACAAATATAAGCTTACTCGGTTCCTTTAGATTTAAATAATTCTAAAAAATTTCCACAGCTTTTCGTGTCCATTTCAATAACCGAGTTTTTGTTTAGCATGTTGACTTAAAATTAAATGACAACCAGATATATATAAAATGCATCTAGAATCTAGATTTGTAAAGTTCTTAATTTAATTAACTGACCTTACAACAACCTCACCAGGGAAGTCGGAACTGGGGGGCAGGAGGGGTAGCTGCCCCTCTTGCCTTTTGCTAGGAGGGGCAATGGGGGCAGAAGTGCCCTTTGAGTTGTAAAATACTACCTGATAAATCACATTTCCAGTGATGCTTTTTGGGCAAAATCATGAGATGTGATCTTGAATGTGACCTGATTAAGTGTGTTTGCTTTCATTGGCAAGTCAACACATTATTGTAGGTTTATATCTTCACCAGGACCTATAGAGGTGCCCTTTGGTGTGCGTTTGCCCCCCTTTGCCTTTTTAACATTCCGGCGTCCCTGAACCTCATACTCAGGCTCTTTCCACTATGCTCCCATTCTTATCCCCAGAGCCATTTTCACTCTGTCACTCGTTGAAAATTAGGCTCTGGGTTAGACGACTAAAGGGAGAGATCTGATTGGCTTCTCAGAGAACTGCTATTCCACAGAAGTTGAGCAATTTTTGCTAGGCAAAATTGTTGTATCGACATTATGTCAACACAAAATAAAATGCTTTGTTTCTTCATAATACTTCACTGTGAAAGTTGTTATGGGCACTATAAACATCCCAATTCAAGAGCGTGCATTTTAAAAACTACTGCAAGTTTCTTGCACTTCCGTTTCTGTGTGTCCCACTGTCTAGGAAGGACGTGTGAGACCCTGGGGGTGAGGATGCTGTGCTCCTTGCTGGAGCGTAGCGGAAAGAGGTTGACCTTACAAAAAGGAGGTTGACTTTACAGAATACATACAATTATGGAATACCCAGTCACATATTGGGCTATGTGACTACATCATCACATTTTGTGGTTTTTGGTCAGACTTTAAGTGAAAGGTTCATGTGAGGTTAGGTATTACTTAATAATTTCAAATTTAATGAAGGTTGTACACATTAAAAGCACTAGGAAGATTAAAGAAAATACTGAAAATTATGTTAGATGAATTGAGGGTCGGGCAAAGCTTGTAGCCAAGAAACAATGCAGCCACCTAGTGAAATAGATGCACAGCCAAAAATCATCATAGCAAAACTAGCCAAAGTTTAGTTGCGAATTATATTACATAGAAAACTGAGACTGGTATATGGTAGGATAACTGCAACAGCATGGTGGCCAACTACGGTGGGCCCAGATGCAATAATAGGGAGGTTCAGATTTGACTACCTCTATCATTAAGGCACCATTAACTAATCAGATGCATGATATGTGTGTGTGTGTGTGTGTGTGTGTGTGTGTGTGTGTGTGTGTGTGTGTGATTAGCCAATCAGATGCATACTAAGCCTGTGTGTGTGTGATTAGCCAATCAGATGCATACTAAGCCTGTGAGAAGTAGTGGAAGTCTGAACCTCTCTGTTCAATACATTAGACCTAGTGTATATATTTATAATTATTTAAAAGTATGAATTTGAACATCTCCTTGTTCTTTCCAAACTGCCATTTCCATTACAAAGTCTTCAAATTAGACCGCTGTTTCAACAGTTTGTGCCAATCTCTCATTGTGCTCTTCGTAGTCTTCTTCATTTTTCACACTGTCCAAAGCAGTTGTTTGTTCGGGTGCATTTAAATCTGAATTACGCAGTGCCACATTATTTGGTCCTGGTTTGGAGGTAGTTGGTGCTGGGTTGGAGGTAGTTGGTGCTGGGTTGGAGGTAGTTGGTCCTGGGTTGCCGTTGGAGGTACTCGGTCCTGGGTTGGGTGTTGGTCCTGGGTTGGGTGTTGGTCCTGGGTTGGGTGTTGGTCGTGGGTTGGGTGTTGGTCGTGGGTTGGGTGTTGGTCCTGGGTTGAAGGGAGTTGGTGCAAGGTTTGAATCTGCACTGTCACTTTGGTCATGATTTTCGTCCGCGTTCTCACTTGGTATTAGGATTTGTTCAGCACACCTTTGGTCAGATTCTCTCCTGGATATGTGATGTCTTGCCAGGCACCACTTGATAAAATGAGGATAAATATATTTTGCAAACAAGAGGCCCAAAACGGTAAGGGCAGCAAAAGCACCAAGTGTGATCCAGATACTGTCTAATGATGACATAGCTGGTGACGAGGTTGATGATGACCACGTGGATGACGTTGCTGTACTTGTCTCTGTTAAAACTGAAACAAATAAAGATTTTATTAGCTATTTATTAATCATTAACATTGGTTAAATTTCACCCTAATAATGATAAATTAGAATTTTTCTTGGGAAACGTGCTACCCATAAAACCATGGCCATGGTGCTTTCTAAACGTCAAACCAACTAAATGCACAATGTTTGGATGTGGTTTAACTCGTTTCAACCAGATTCACGAGTTACAGAGGGACTTTCCTGAAATATCAATTTCATGTGGTAACGTACGCTTGGTATTTCCGTTAAATGACTCGTATATCCTTACGACCCTGCAGGGTGCCAATAAATAACCGCAATAATAACATATGGCATATAAAAATATAAAAGTTAAAATAGTGTACTGTAAACAACATGTACTCAGAAAATTTATAGACTTATAGATATGTTTATTAAACAAAAATTCTTTAATAGTCTCTTTGAATATTATTGAACGCGCAGTTTATGCAAACGTTATGAGGTCAATAACGCAAATTATTCATGCGTGTAGCAAACACTCTCGCGTCGCATTTTGCATGAGTACTCTGCGCTTCTCATATGAGCAAAACCTATACACAAGTCTGTAAAACCATTAACTGTGCTAAAACCGAAGATATGGTTATTAAGAAAGTGACTGTGAGCAAGATTGACATCGACACATCGTGAAAAGCATGACGTGAAAATCACGAGTTTAGCTATTATTGACTACTTCAGCATTTTTTTAATCTTCTTAATTAAAAGCTCGTCTGCTTTGCTTTCGACTTGGAAATTGCGCATGTATATAGCACGAAATTGTTAAAAAGCTATTCAAATAGTGTCATAATTACTATTAAACATGTAAAACGCCTGACACTAAATTATCAACAGATAAATCAATGAATTCGTGCGATTTAAACGTGACCCCAGTTGATTCTCGAGTTGAGTATAAATATTACACGAGGTGAATCTCTGTTTTAAATTAATACCACTACAGTCAACGACTTTGAGAGTATGAAATACTTTCTCAAACTAACCCGTAGTTAAAGAAATTGGACGTGATAGTTGAGTAAATATCTGGGCGTGTATTTTCGTGGTATCAAGTTTAATGAATTATTAATGAGTTTGCGTGCTTTGATTTTTGAGATCCCTGTAACTCATGTATTATAGTTTTTGTTAGAACTTAGCAACCTAAAATCGCAAAGTGAGTGCCACGTCATATTCCGGTAAACTACCCCAATAAAATAGATTATAATCATCATGACCTTTCGTCATAAAGCCTCATGAGAATTAAAAGACAATGACTACGAGAAATGCATTACATTGATAAATGTAAGGTTTAGAAAGGTTCTGTATAAATCCCAGCTTTTACCCGTTGAGAGAAAACCGAATTGGGGACCCTAACAATCATTTACATTCTACTTTGTTACTTGTTATATATTGTTGTTACTTACAGCATTTCATACAACTTCTATAAATCTTCATATATAAAGGTCTGTGAGTATCACAGCCTTTGGGAGCAACGGGACATTCATCACATCCATCTAGACTCTGATATGTGCCTTTGCTACAATCGCCCATAATGAACTTGTCTGTTTGAGTAGTAGCTGTAAATGAATCTAGATAGAAATGACGGACAGTTTATAATAAGCTGTAAAAGGGGAAGTCCCTTAAAGGGTAAGAAGATAGGGGCAGCCGCGAAGCCCTGGGAACGAGGATGATGTAATTAGTTAAAAGTCCATTCCCTATACACGTTATATGTTGCGCAAAAGATTTCGACATGAAAAGTCTGAAAAGATCAATAAATTTTTCAATAATTGTACAATACAGTTCTTAAATATCAGATCTTTCTTACAGACCTGTATAAACGTTTCCGTAATACGCTCCATCAGGCGACTTCTTAAATAACGACACGGCGCGCAAATAACACTATAATCAGTAGCGTAGCCAGCCCGACGATTTAGTCCCGCTATGCAAATATTTTCGTGTCCATTGACTGTGAAAACAATCAATTTCTAAAGAAATGAATAATGATAATAATTTTGAATTTGCATAGCGGGACTAAATTGTCGGGCTGGCTACGCCACTGACTATAATATACTATAGATTTAACTCGCGCGTCTAGACAGTTGAATATATGAATAGTTCAATACAATTTGTTTATATTGCGCTTAGTTTTGTGTCTTTTTAATGTCGTTAATTATGTGTTATTTACATAAATATATATACTTACCACACTTCATACAGCTTTCATAATCCTTCATATACAGTGGTTTAAATGTGTCGCATCCTGCAGCAGTGTCAGGACAGGTGGCACATCCTCCGCTCAAAGTACTTTGATGAGTACCAATTCCACATGAACTCGCTAGAACGAACAACGAAGTTATTACCAATAACGATGTTTTTACACTTTTTAAGAATGGTGAAGTAGGAACGAATAACGAAGACATGCCTAGTTAGTTAATCTTAGCCGATGTGATCGTGTGAATATGAATAAACAACTATACGTCAATGCGCGTTTTATAGAAGCATTCCACACAAGGGAAATCCCCTCCTCTCTTCATATGACTCAAGTAATTTGATCATGTGTGAATGAACTGTTCGTGCGGTGTTGCATGTTCGGTTCGGATGAGATGATGCAAATTGCAACAAAAGTATTTTCAGTATTGATGAGTCAATGAAATTAGCGTGAGATAAGAATTAAATTCCGTGAAACTATTGAGTCAGTGGAATCAATAAATATTATATAATACCATATAATTACCATATACTGCGTGATAGCCGTCAATTAACGCAAGACAGATAACTGCTTACATCAGCCAAACATACGACTTACGCATGTTTGGATCACTTTAAGGCTTGGTTATATATATGTGCTATGGACCACTGAACATTACCTTTATCTAAGTATAGTATATAAAGCAATAAAACGCAAACACAATCTGATAAGTAAAGTAACTGAATTTTATGTTGGACACTAAAGTACCTTATAATGGTTGTCTAATAACATACCGTAACGTAACGAGGCTTGGTTCCCTAGCTGTTAACCTTTGTTATTGCATAACCTCATAAAATGATGAATTTGGGGCTGAAGCTGGTGCAAATTGCACTATTGTTCCCAAGTTGGACCTACATTGTATAAAATTACGACAAATCAAATCTTTTCTAAAACCTACTACAAATACTTGCCAAATGATATTATGAGAGTAGACCGGGTTTCTGTCAAATAGAAAGTAATAAGTAATTATCCCAAAGAATTTTTAGGAGTGATAAAATTTCAATCTTTGTTGAAATTTGTTCGCCAGGGAATGTAAACAAAGCAAGATTCTGAAGAACAACCAGGCTTAAAGTCTTTAATAAAGATAAATAACAATGTTTACATAATACAATACTTTATGACGTGATACGTATTACGTAATGATAACAAATTATCCATTGTATTTATATAGCTCAGTGCTTGGTAACCAAGCCTTAAAGTGATCCCAAAAAATTTTTCTGCATTACGCATTGTTACTTAAATTAACCGGAAAAATCTGTTATACCAGTGGTGTTTGGTAGAGTGAAACTGTAATCATGCACCTTTCTCACATGTGCTTGAAACGAAATTCCGGAATGAGACAAGTGAGATAACTGTGCACCAGCTCGATCTCTTCCGAAAATTAAGGCTATGTCTTAATTGTAAAAAGCGTTCAAATTAAGACATTGCCTTAATTTTAAACCTAACCCCACCCCAACCCCCACCCTAACTTCGAACCCCCCTAACCGCTAATCCTAATCTAATCTTAGTCTGACCCTAATCCAATCCAAATCTGGCGACCTTTTTTTTTCTTCTAAAGCATCGCTTACGCTATTCTCGACTATCGTTTGCATTTCTCGACTATCGTTTACATCAATCTGGAATATAGTTTACATTTCTCATTTATTGTATACAGTTCTCGACTATCACGTAAATTTCTCGATACACTTTTGTCCAGTTTATAGCTTGCCATAGTATTTCAAAATAGTGAACAATTTTACTCCAACAGTCAGGTCCCTCAAACAGTTCAGCAAAGGTCGGGTTTAGCTCTACGACATGCATCAAATTTTACTTTATTTCCTGTTAGAACTGGAAGATTCAAAGCTTCTTTCTTTCTTTCAACAACTATGTTATGGAACAGTATGGATTTAATATGTTGAATATAGTATTTTATTAATTAGCGTTTTTGAACAAAATCTTAAATGCTTTTTTTGATATTACATGTAATAAGAAGTACACATACAGATATTTCACAGCACACTCCCTGTATCAGGGCTTTTCAGTGACTGGTTACATTATGAATAGATAAACAAAACATTTTATTTTCGTCCAACAATTTATTTAACAATTATTGAATGAGGTTGAGCACGATATGAAGAATTATCAAGCCCGAAGTTTGCCGTTATCAACTGAAGCCGAAGGCTGAGGTTGATAACGGCAAACTGAGGGCTTGATAATTCTTCAAATTGTGCGAAAACCGAATTCAATAATTGTTTTATTATTTATTTAAAAAATTCAAAACAAACATTTGTATTTTATTTGTATTGAGAAAGAAACAATTCCTTAGTCCTTCGGCAGCCGTCGTCGTCGTCATATCTGGCGTCAGCGAGTCAATATGTTTCTCGTCGTCATAGTAATATGGCGCAAATGCATCCAAATTTTTTCATATTGACTCTTTGACGTCATTTTGCTAATATGAATGTGAAAAAGCCATATTTGGTTAGCCATTGAGTTGATACATAGTCTTTCGAGACATGGTCTGGAAACTCAGTAAACCTCAAAGCGGTTATAATGAGCTGGCATTTATGTTGAGCCGTACCTTACACCGTGCACATCCTTTGTTTAAGGTTTATTAATATTTAAATAGCATGATTGAATGACTGAACTGAAACGTTGCTATTGGATGATTCGTTCATTATACTGAAATACAATGTGTTCATTGACCGTGCACCGTGCACAAAACTGCATAAACGCGAACAAAAAGATAGAACAAATACTTTAGCGGAGTTTCCAAACCATGTTTTGAAAGACTATGGTTGATATGACAATTTCACAGTTGGCTGTTAGCCAATCAGAAACCAGGATTTTTTAAATAAATAATAATAAAGAATCTGAACGCTTTCGTCAAGTTTTATAAGGAATCCTTCAAACGATGCACTAACTTGTTTGTTCCTTGTTTTACTCTACTTTACTTTTATTTTCAAATACTATGTTAATAAAAATATATACTAATATACTATGTTCAAATACTTAATATACTATGTTCAAATACTATGTTGTTTTTGGAGTTTCACTTGTTTTGTATTTTATGTTAATACTGACTCAATCACAATGAGCTCGATAGCTCTTGGGTAAATATCTAATAAATAATGTACAGTTTATAAGCATTGGAATAATAACTTAGACATTGTAGAAGTTTCCTGGCCATGTATGTTCATTAACATTGATTAACAAAGAAGAGAAGGATCAGCTTGATTATCTTTGTCCAAAGCAGGTGAAATCTCTGGACCGTGGTATTGTTGGTCATCTGCTGTTGCTGGTGGTGGTTGTGACAATGGTTGGCTCTCGGTTAGAATTCTTATGTCTTCCATGTCCAGCACATGGTCCTCTCCATGTTGTGTGGGAATTAAACGAGAGACGCAACATATTTGAGAGACGCAACATCTTTTATTAACTCTGCGACGATACAAATATATCAATCTTGCGATGAGTAGAAGTGATATCAGAGCGATTGGGATTCCAATAACCATAGTTAAGTTCATCCCGCCTTGCTCAGATGGATCGCCTATGAAAAAAAGTGACATGATATGGGTTTGTCAAACATTAATGGCAAAGAAATGCTAGAAAATGGCAAATAGTAAACGTCAAAAATATACGAAGGATAAAGAGAGTATAAAACTTAGAAAGGTTGTCCTACTTTCACATGTATGTGGTTGCTTACTTTCACAGAAAGTTCCATTCCCATTGAATCCAGTTTTACAACGACAAATGTATGATCCAGGAGTATCCAAACAGTCTGCATTCACATGACATGAAACATTTAAACACTCGTCAATATCTGAAAGAGGAAAATGAAAAAAAAGTTGTCAAAGGAAGGAAACTAAAAAGCCAGATTGCACATTGTTTGACACTTACTTGTACAGTTTGAAATTCCATTGCCAGAAAACCCAGGATTACATTGACAGCCATAAGAACCTTCACTGTCAGTACAGCTGGCATTGACATGGCAAGGTTTGCTCAAACATTCATCAATGTCTAGAAAACAAGAAAAATATACCAATCATGATAATTATTCACTGGTACATTGATCTCAATCAACAGAATCATATATAACCATATAATTGTGAAGTGAAATCAGTTTTTGCTTAGTGTACTCCTCCAAACCATATGTATATACTCACTTGCACAAGTCACTCCATTTCCAGAAAACCCAACATTACATTTACAGTCATAAGATCCTTGAGTGTCAGTACAATTGGCATTGTGATGACATGGGCTGGTCAAGCATTCATTGACGTCTAGAAAACGAAATGTATTAATTAGCAGAAAGTTACAAAATTTTAGACACACGAATAAAAGATTTACTTACTAGAACAATTCAATCCATTTCCAGAAAACCCAACATTGCATTGACAAACAAAAGAACCTTCAGTATCAGTGCAGCTGGCATTGTGATGGCATGGGCTGGTCAAGCATTCGTTGATGTCTAGAAAAAGAAGTGTATTAATTAGCAGAAAGTTACAAAATTATGGACACATGAATAAAAGATTTACTTACTAGAACAATTCAATCCATTTCCAGAAAACCCAACATTGCATTGACAAACAAAAGAACCTTCAGTATCAGTGCAGCTGGCATTGTGATGACATGGGCTGGTCAAGCATTCATTGACGTCTAGAAAAAGAAATGTATTAATTAGCAGAAAGTTACAAAACTATAGACACATGAATAAATGATTTATACTTACTAGAGCAATTCAATCCATTTCCAGAAAACCCAACATTACATTTGCAGTCATAAGAACCTTGAGTGTCAGTACAATTGGCATTGTGATTGCATGGGCTGTTCAAACATTCGTTGATGTCTAGAAAAAGAAGTGTATTATTAATTAGCAGAAAGTTACAAAATTATGGACACATGAATAAAAGATTTACTTACTAGAACAATTCAATCCATTTCCAGAAAACCCAACATTGCATTGACAGTCAAAAGAACCTTCAGTATCAGTACAGCTGGCATTGGGATGGCATGGGCTGGTCAAACATTCATTGACGTCTAAAAAGATTTTATAAATAACAAACAATAGAATGATTAGCAGAAAGATACAAAATTTTAGACATATATAATGCAAGATTTACTTACTAGAACAATTAGATCCATTTCCTGAAAACCCAGCATTGCATTGACAAACAAAAGAACCTGCAGTGTCAGTACAGTTGGCATTGACATGACATGGATTGCTTGAACACTTCTTGTCTAAAAGATTATACAAATAAATAACAAGCAATAAGTGACTAGCAGAAATGTACACAATTTTATACACACGAACGAAAATTAATTAATTAATTATGAATTATGATCTTGAATTTTCTTGACACTGTTTGATATTTGTTTGCAATCAGGAGGAATAACAACTTTTTTACAAGGGTGGGTTGACTACAAAATTTTTGTAGTTCGCTATAACTACAGCTACTTAAAAAATATGTAGTCAGCTACAACTACTGCTACTTTTGAACAAAGGTAGTTCGCTACTGAGTACAGCTACTGCTTAAAAAATGTAGCGAACTACTTCGCTATTTCGCTACGCTATATTTTTCAGTTTTACTGTATTTGGAGCATCTACTAACTCACGTTGAAATTTAACCTATAACAAATCGACTTACGAGTAGCAACAGTAAACACAAAGCAACATTTTTGTAAGCACTACAGTGTTCAAGAGTGCACATTGTCTATTGAGTATTGATTTTAAGCAAACCGTGTTTCAATATCATGTTATTCTATCAAGTAGCTAACAATTTTAAAAAGTAGCGAATAGCGATTCGCTGTTTGAAAAGTAGTCAACTACTTTGCTACTTTTAGGCAAAATGTAGTTCGCTATAACTACAGCTACTGTTTTAAAAAAGTAGTCAAAAACTATACTGGCTACTTGAAAATTGTAGTTCGCTACAGTAGCGAACTACAACTACTTCGCTACTACCCACCCTTGCTTTTTTATGGCATTTACGGCAGCACTTCCCCCTTAGTAACGTCTAATTAATTGATACTTTATAACAATGCTTTATAGATCCTTTACTTGTATTAAAATTCGCGTTGTACTCATTTTCGCTCTGCTTTAAATTTGCGCGTTTTTTTGAGACTTCAGATCCTGACATACCGGACGCGAGGGTGTATAGATAAAAGGCGGACCGCGGATGACGGAGCATTTTATAAACACATGATTATTACCGCAACTAATTATAATACCCTAAATTAAAGTATACCAGCTTTATAGATCTGTGAAATGAATATGTTTTCACCCGTTCGAATTTTTAGCAATGGATTTTTTTATCAGCATTCAATACATATGTAAGCCAAAGTCCATTCATGTGAGTGCTTACACATTAATAATAGCGAAATTATAACTTTCCCTATAAGCCCTTCAAATACATATAATAGAATATACCCAATATTTACACTGTCCAACTTACATTGCCCAAGTTGACGTCACACATATATACGATTTTTCAAACTGCTTGTTACACTGATTACTGTGTGACATTGACATATACAGTGTAGTAGATATTATAATATATAGTCGAAGGCTGGCTACTGGATACTTTACTGTGATACGCAGTGGAATTCCGGCCATGTCAACAGCCGACGATTCGTGTCTATCTCAATCTCGTTCCCCAAGCCTGCGATCCTCGGGAATGAACGCGAGGCTCTGGGATAATCCGTTTCAGAGAGGAATCTGATTGGCCGTTGAAATGGAATGCGTAGTTCAATCTTAGCCAGAATTCCTGGCTTCCGGCAACGGATTATCCCAGAGCCTCGCGTTCCTTCCCGAGGATCGCAGGCTCGGGGAACGAGATTGTGTCTATCTGTGCAGTCAGTCAATGAAGTGCTGAATCGGGCTCGTTCCCAGTCGCTCGCGTTGGATGATGGGAATGGATTAGGTTTGTGGCGAGAGACTGTGGAAGAGTCAGGTGCTGAATCACATACCATAGCCTCAGGTGGTTTTCCTGCTTAGAGGCTCATCTCCAACTTTTACTTTTATATTTTTACTTTTATATTTTCACTTTTATATTTTCACTTTTATATTTTCACTTGTAAGGTAATTACGCAGTGAATATTGTCACTGGAGCAGATACGAGCGTATGCCGCGCAGGCTAGATATTCGCTAGCAACCATAGTAATATCAAGCCCCAGCTTATACAGTCAGTACGCAGTAAGATGGGCGGTAAAGCTCGGTAATTTAGACAGCGAACTATTTCTCATGCGCCGAACCTAATACGACGATTACAGTGAAAATACAAAAAGTGTCCCACTTCCGCTTCTGTAGTTTGTTGTGATTTACTGTAATTTGTTCTGTTTTTCTGTAGCGATTACCGATTTATCGGCAAATACCGCGATAAAACTTAGTTTTCTCTACTTTTTAAATATGATAATTTGTAGCAAAGGGAAATAATACATTTTTCGTTAGTTTCATTGCATAAAAGGTACGAAATTTAAATTTTATCGCAGTATTTGCCGATAAATCGGTAATCGCTACAGAAAAACAGAACAAATTACAGTAAATCACAACAAACTACAGAAGCGGAAGTGGGACACTTTTTGTATTTTCACTGTAAGTACGACAGAAGAGCGGCGTCTAAATCAGTTGCCGAACTTGTGCCGTGAGAGATGAAGCCCATGAAAAAGCGTTCAGTAAATGTAACACGCATTTCGCGCAGTAAAGTAGTATATAACTGATGTGTCTGTAGCTTGTAATCCAACCTCGTACCCAGGACTAGTCGCGAATTGAAGGCGCTTCAATTCGCGACTAGCCCTGGGTACGAGGTTGCTTGTAATCGTGTTTGACATTGTGCATTATTGCAATGTTGGTAAATATCACAATTTGTATTACTAAATGCCTATAATTCCACGTCCAGAACATTACACAAAAATACAAAGTATAACACACAAAAATACAAAATATAAAACACAAAAATACAAAATATAAAACACAAAAATACAAAATATAAAACACAAAAATGTGAAACACAAAAGTAGTTTTATGCTGTCACCGCTGGGCTTCTGTATTGTTGGCTTCCTTTGTTCCTTTTTAATGAATTATTAATGAGTTTGCGTCCTTTGATTTTTGAGATCCCTGTAACTCGTGTATTATAGTTTTTGTTAGAACTTGGCCATCTAAAATCGCAAAGTGAGTGCCATGTCATCAGATTCCCGTAATCTCCCCCAAAAATAGATTATAATCACCATATGACCCTTCGTCATGAGAATTAATTATAAAAGACAATGCTACGAGAAATGTATTATATTGATAAATGTAAAGTCTAGAAAGGTTCTGGATAAATCCCAGCTTTTCCCCGTTGAGAAAACCAAATTGGGGACAACAACCATTTACATTACATTCTACTTTGACTTTGTTACTTGCTAAGTTATATATTGTTGCTACTTACAGCATCGCATACAACTTCTAAAAGCCTTCATATTCAAAGGATTGTGAGTATCGCAACCTTTGGGGCTACTGGGACAATCATTACATCCATCTACACCCTCATATGTGCCTTTGTTACAATCGCCCATGACCGTCTTGTCTGTCTGGGTAGCAGTTGTAAATGAATCCAGATCGAAATGACAATCAGGTAAATAATGAATAAAATGGGAAATTACGGGAACCACTGACTATTTTAATAAAACGTAAAACAACGGTAACTCCGAAAATAAATTTTAATAATAATAATAAATTTTATTTTCGGACCTTTGTTTTATATTTTATTAAAAGGGGAAATTCCTTCGAATTTCGGAACTGCCTGCGTGGCCGCCGTGAAGCCCTGGGAACGAGGATGATGTAATTAGTTAAAGGTCCATTCCCCCTACACGTTATATGTTGCGCAAAAGATTTCATCGACATGACAAGTCTGAAAAGATCAATAAATTTTTCAGTTGCACAATAGAGTTCTTAAATCTTTCTTACAGACCCCGGCGTAACGTTTTGATAATACTTTTTACGCTCCATCAGGCGACTTAAATAGCGGCACGTCGCGCAAACACTGTACTTTTGATCTAACTTACGCGTCTAGACAGTTGAATATATGAATAGTTCAATGCAATTTGTTTATATTGCGCTTAGTTTTGTGTCTTTTTAATGTCGTTAATTATGGGTTATTTACATATATACATATACTTACCTGTACAATTCATACAGCTGTAATAATCTTTCATATACAGTGGTTGAAATGTGTCGCATCCTGCAGCACTGTCAGGACAGGTGGCACATCCTCCGCTCAACGTACTTTGATGCGTACCAATTCCACATGAATTGGCTAAAACGAACAACGAAGTGATTACCATAAATAACGAAGTTTTTACACTTACGAATGGTGAAGTGATAACGAATAATGAAGGCATGCCTATAGCTAGTCTTAGTAGTCAGCCGATGTGATCATGATTATGTGTAGTAACTGAAGGTCGATGAATAAATAAACAACTACGACGTAAACGCGCAATTTTTAGAAGCATGATACATCGGGAAATCCCTCCGTAATTTGCCGGATCGAATTAACTGTTCGTCATGCGGCATGTGTTCAGCCGATGATGCAACAAAATCACATCATAACGCAATCAGTTATTTATTATATGTATTGATAAGTCAATGAAATTATCGTGGGATAAGAATTAAATTCCGTGAAAATATTATGGAATCAATAAATATTATATAATATCAAAAAATTACCATATATTGCGCGATAGCCGTGAATTGACGCAAGACAGATAAGTAGATAACTGCTTACATCAGCCAAACATACGACTTCCGCATCGTTACTTAACAGGAAAAACCTGTTATACTTAACAGGAAAAACCTGTTATACCAGTGGTGTTTGGTAGAGTGAAACTGAAAGCATGCACTTTTCTCACATGTGCTTGAAACGAAATTGTAATCGGGCAACTGTAGGAAGTGACATTATACCAAACATACGATCGTTACCCATGTTCATTAACCAGAAATTAATGGACCATTTGCACTATAGACTAAATTTTGATCTAAACATGTCTAGACAAAACTTTCATCACAGCTTGAAAGAGCATCACAAAATTAGTAATACTCCAAAGTTTCGTTGCGAAATGTTGTAAAATGCAGATAACATAGCCTTGCAAAGTTTGCTGTTTTTCAGTCATTTTGCATTACGCGGGGGAAATTGACAGCCCAACACCCTTTGGGGCTGTCCATTTCTCGTTTGTAATACAAAATGACTGTAAACGGCAAACTTCGCAAGGCTATATCATGGATAATAAAATAAATGGATAGGAAACCATAGAGATTATAAATAACACTAGAGGAGGCATCGAGTTTAAAAATTGGGAACGCAGCTAATGGGGGGCAAATTCAAGTCCCGGATATAAAATCGTGCTCTCATTGGCTGATTTGAAACTCGTCACCAATAGGAACACGAATACACATCCGGGACTTGAATTTGCCCCCCAATAGTCGCGTTCCCTTTTTTTTTACTGAATTAAGATTATAATGCCTCCTCTAGTGTTATTTATAATCTCTATGTAGGAAACTAGCTGACGTGACCTAATGTTTTTACTGGGATTGATGGCGTGGCTGGGTGCCTCAACCTAGTTGAAAATCAAATTCTCAAAAACGGCATGTTTAGCAATAATACAGCTAAACATTTTAGTCAAAGAGCAAATAAATGTAACCACGCCATTCTACGATGAAAACTCTAAGTATTCCCAGTCAATTTTAGCAAATATTTCAAGCACTAAACAGTGAAAAATACATCACAAATTTCGTTAAAATTTGTGACGCCAATTTCGTAGCTACAAATGTGAAAAAATACAAAACAAAGACGAAAAACATTTACCTTGACTACTTTGTCGTGGCTTAGGCATGTTTTTAAAACAATTAGACCAGTTTATGCTTCAATATCACCCTTTTAAAGTGGAAAATATAGCAAAACAACAAAAATGCCGAGAACTTCGGTAACATTCGCAATACGCGTGACGTCACGTTTTTCAACAAGGATGCAGTCAATGACGTCAGAAGTTTCCAATCCATTTATTTTATTATCCATGGCTATATTATCCGCATTTTACAACATTTCGCAACGAAACTTTGGAAATATTACTAATTTTGCGATGCTCTTTCAAGCTGTGATGAAATTTTTGTCTAGACTTGTTTAGATCAAAATTTAGTCTATAATGCAAATGGTCCATTAAGATCGGGTATCTCTCCGAGCGGCCAAATAACGACTCGTTGCACACACTTTAATCTATGCTTGGGCCTGCACTATTAACAACAAGCTTTAAAAACAACCATTTTCCACCCATTCACATTTTCAGCTAACTCGCATGCGTGGCTACTGTAGTTACCACTGTTCTTCTAATGTAAGCATAGAACGAAACAAAGGTAAACATTTGGGTATAGGCCTAAACACACGTTCGCTGACTTGGTGTATTTCCTCGATGTTTCTAGGCACAGGCGCATCGTGTATCTATCCACTGCTCGGAGCGAAGATTAATGGTTGGAAATTCTGTGCTTCAGAAGTGGACGAGGTGTCTTATCGTTTTGCTTGTGAGAATGTGAAGAGAAATGAATTGGAGGAAAATATACAAGGTATTATTTCATTTTCTTACATCTGTTGTGTGCAAGTGATTTCGTCTGATTAATGTATATCCAAAGCATTGTTTTCTAGCCATGTTTTCCAAATATGGGTAACCAGGAAACGTTGTTTCCCAGCCATATTTTCCAAATATGCATGGGTAAAAAAATAAAAATGAAACATTGTTTCCAGGCCATGTTTCCAAATATGGGTAAAAATGAAACATTGGTGCGAGGAATATGAATTGCGAAAAAAATGTTCCCTAGTTTGTTGGCAAACATTTTTTCTTCCAGAAGAAGGTAAACCAGGGATAGATCCAGCATGATCTGGTAGAGGGGGGGGGG